AACATGTCATACTTTTATTTATATGGAGAAATGTGAACTAATCTTGAGGGTAGATGAGGAGCAAGAAGTTTTTACATTATATAATCCATCTAAACAACCATTAGGCCTCGACAAGTGTTAGAGTTTCAATGAAGACGAACTGTCCCTTCAACAAAATTGTCAGAAGAGAAAATCGAAATTTGGAGGATTGCTTGGTAGAGACGAGAACATAGAATTTAAAGTTTGGAGAGCTAAAAGAGGATGCAAAGCTGGAAATTGCAAGTCGTACAATGATGAAATCCTTCAACTTGAACCACCATGAACGTATCGAAGTAAAGTCGGGCTATAGACTATAAACTAGCGTTGGTTGAGAGGCAACCCAACAATTCTACCCTTCTATTTATTTATTTTTATGCATTAGATTATGACATTTTTGATAATTTTTGATCATATTGAGTCATTCATCATCCTACAGGATGCAATGAGTCTATGCATGGTTCACACTTCTATTCCTTCATCATTTTCACATTCACATTGATTAGGGAAGTATCTCTAGCCCCATTTTCCCTATCTTTATGAGAATTTGTCCTTGATATTATGTGCCTTTAAGTTTGTAGTGTTTTAGTATTTAAATATTGAGGACAATGTTTTGTATAAGTTTGGGGGTGAGAATATTTACATCCATCATGTTACTGCAGTTTTTGTGTGATTGTGTGGATAAAAAATAAATAAAAAATAAAAAATGAATTTTTTTTTTTTGCATTTTTTATTAATTTTGTTTTCTATCTTAAATTATAAGAATAGTTTTGTGTGCTTGTATTGGTTTGATGACCTTGCTGGCTATGATGTTGAATATTGGAATGAGTATGAACTGTAAATAATGAAAATAGTGCATTGTTAGATCAGTCAAAACTTGTTTATGTGAACTTGACATTCTTTATGCACAATACTCATGGTTGACATGTTAGGTTGGTAAATTGGTTCATTATATAGAAAATAGTTGAACATAGTAAGTAAACCCGAATAACCTTTATAGCATTAATCCATAATCCACTTATAGAGTAGTTTGGAGATGATTGAGCTGTTATAGGGGAATATTGAGATAAGTAGGGATTCCATGCATGAACATTATCTTGTGTGGATTGTCTAAAACCAATTAGAAGAAGACGAGGTGAAAGTTTTAAGGTAGATGTTAGTTTTAGAAATTGAATGTCTAAAGGAATGGGCATTGCACTATCTATGTGTGAATAAAAAATCTCTTCGAGCCTGTATAACTTGAGTGATTAAGTCTAAAAGGGTGATTGAAAATTCGGTACCCTATGGTTATCTGATTTGGGAGTTATCAGCCTAAAACTCACTACATGGGTTACATAGAAAGCAAATGAAAAGATGTTTGTTTGAAAAAAAAAAAGTCATGAAAAAAAAAAAGAAATTACATTGATTATGTCCCAGACATTCGATCAACAGGACTACACTTTTAATGAGATGCAAGTAACTTAATTTAGTCTTAAATGTTGAAACAATAAAAAATATAGGAGAATCTCGACTTGTTGAAATGTGAACTTGTAATAGTAAGATCTATCCAAACTGAGAGAGGGTAAGGAAAAGCGTTGAATAATTTCAACTTAGGATGCACCCGGAAAAATTGAGTGAAAAGAATAAGTTTAAGGTGTATGCATCTCTCGAGAGAAGTAAGGAGATATTTGACTACTATGGATCAGACGTTGAGCTAATCATGACTTTAATATGTTGGCATGAGTATACACACACGGTCAAGTATGCATGTAACATGTGGAGATTGATTAATTGATTTGGCACTGTAAAGTTGTTCATTTAATTTATTACTAAATTATAATCATGAGACACGGAGGGTTATCGAACTATGTTTTATGTGGAATTAAGTTACAGTTTTATTCGAGTACAAACAACAGTTCAAATTTGGGGGAGTTGATAAGTACGTTTTACACACTTATTCGAGACCTAAAATATCGATATTTGGCAATTATTTTGATTAAATATATCCTAAATTTTCGTATTTTATGTTATATAGGTTAAACTCAATGATTGAACGTGTAATTGGAAGAAACAAAAGAAAATCAAGGAAAAATGGCAAAATTCAAAGTTTGAGGACTAAATTGCAAATTCAATAGTTGATTCGGACCACTAGATGATACTTCGAAGATTGATATGAGACAATTTAATGGAATTAGAACTCAAAAAAGAATGGAATATGATTCTCATAATCAATGTCCAATCGCACAAGTTATATTCCAAATTTTTAGTCGAATATTGATACCCATTTTT